TAAAATGATTTCCAGCCAGTCTTAGATTTATTGTATGAGGGCACTTACAAACCTGGAGGACCACCATAGTTTACTGGAGAAGTGGGAAAATAAGAACCTGCATTCTCCTGAGGACCACCGTATGATCAAATTTCCCTCAATATTACTCTCTTGGAAGCCTTTAGCACCTTTCCTTTGAAGGCATGAATAACTTATTTCAAACTACTGGCCTACTCCCCCATTCTTTAAAACTACTACACTGGCCAACCAAATATTCCAGCAAACACATTTACATCACATGCCATGATGTAGTCTCATATGATAACCAGACATAATGCATTCTACATAGTCTTTATACATGTTTCAGCTCATTTCTATAATGAAAATTATGTATTACCTGGTAAGGGGAGAAACATTTCAAATGTAAATAAATAAAATGATCAATAAAAATTACAATGGTGGAAAATAAACAAAACAAACAAAACAAGCAAAGAAACAAAACCATGGTCTTTGGAAAATTCTCAGTTTCAAACATATTTACATCACTTGTCATGACATACTCTCGTGTGATAACAAGACATAATGCCTTCTACATAGTCTGTATACATGTTTCAGCTCATTCTGTAATGAAAATTATCTATTTACCTGGAGAATTTCAAGTAACACTACAACCTTCACTTCTGCTATTGTCCTCTGTCTTATCAGTATGTGAATAATTGCTTAGTCTTAATATTTACCTCATATGTTTTGTTTCTTTAAAATTATTTAAAATTTATTTAAAATTTATTTACAGTAACCCAATAAATAATCAGACTCTTCCATCTACATTGCCAAAATCCTTTACCTATGTACTTTATATTACATGTATAACATTGGAGCAATTATTTATATGTATGACTCTACTAATTCCCATGCAGAACAGTAATACTTTTTATATTTTTGTTATTATTATTATTTATTCAATCTACTACTCACTCACTGCCCCCGCCCAGTTACCCTGTCCAGCAATTCCTCTCCCATGCCCCTCCCCTTCTCCTCTGAGTGGGTGGAGGACCACTGGCTATCTCCCCACCTTGGCATATCAAATCTTCCTGAGGCTAGGTGCATCCTACCCCACTGATGTCAGACAAGGCAAAAAGTACATATCTTAAAGACAGGCAACAGCTTTAGGGATAGCACCCAATCAAGTTGCTCAGGTCCTATATGAAGACCAAACTGTGCATCTACTACACATGTGTGTGGAGGAATAGGTCCAGATCATGTATGTTCTTTGGTTGGTGGTTCAATCTCTGAGAGCTCCAAGCATCCAGGCTAGTTGATTCTGTCGGTTTTCCCATGGAGTTCCTATCTCCCTTGGGGCTGCAATCCTTCCTCTTATTCTTCCATTAGAGTCCCCAAGCTGTTGGCTTGGGTCTGTTTGACTTTAGGTCTCTGTCTGAGTCAGTTGAGGGTCAGGCCTTTCAGAGGACATCCATGCTAGACTCCTGTCTGCAATCTTATAAACAAAATATCATTAATAGTGTAAAGAGTTGGCACTTGCCTATGGAATGGGTTTGAATTTCAGCTAGTTATTGGTTGGCTGTTCCCTCAATCTATCCTTCATTCCTAATCCCTGGATTTCTTGTAGACAGATTAAATTTTGGTCCAAAAGTTTTGTGGGTGGGTTGGTGTCCCTAGGGACACCTCACTAGGGTTCCTGCCTGACTACAGGAAGAATCCTCTCCAAGCTCCATATCACCAGTGCTGTGAGTCACAGTTAAGGACACCCCTGGTGATCCTTGGGCACCTCCCATATCCAAGGTCTCTTCCATGAGATGATCCCTATCTATCCCTGCCCCAGTCAGTTGCATTCATTCTCATGGCTATAAGGACATCAACCCTGTCCCTCCCTAGACCCAAATCTGACCCCTCTTATTCCCCTTCCCATCCCATCTTTCATCTAGTTTTCTCCCTCCATCTGTCTTCTATGATCATTCCATTCCCCCTTCCAAGTGACACTCAAGCATTCTTGCTTGTGCACGCCTTCCTATCCAGCCTCCTTGGATCTGTATAGCATGGGCATCTTGTAGTTTGCAGCTAAGATCCACTTATAAATGGGTATATACCATGGATGTATTTTGGGACTGGGTTATCACACTTGATATGACATTCTCAAGATCCACCCTTTTCCTGAAAAATTCATGATGCCTTTGTTTCTCATAGCTGAATAGTATTCCATTGTGTAGATGTACAACATTTTTTAAACTCATTCTTTGGTTGAGGGGTATCAAGGTTGCTTCCAGGATCTGAGAATTACAAATAAAACTATTATGAATATAGTTGAGCAACTGTCTTTGTGGGATGGTGGAGTTTTTTGGAGTTATATGCCCACAAGTGGAGTAGTTGGGTCTTGAGGGACAACTATTCACACTTTTCTGAGAAACAGCCGTACTGGTTTCTAGAGTGGCTGCACATGGTTGAACTCCCATCAGCAATGGAGGAGTTCCCCTCTTTCTCCACATTCTCACCAGTATGTGCTATCACTTGAGTTTTTGATATTAGCCATTCTGACCTGTGTACAATAGAATCTCAGAGTTGTTTTGATTTGGATTTTGCTGATGACTAAGCACTTTGTACATGTATTTACGTGCTTCTAAGACACTTGAGACTCCTCAGTTGAGAACTTGCTGTTCAGCTTTATGCCTCATTTTATCTTTGGATTGTTGGTGTGTAACTTCTTGAGTTCTTTATAAATTTTGAATATTATCCCTGTCAGATATAAGGTTGGTGAAGATCTTTTTTTTAATTTTAATTTTATTTTTTAAATCAAATTGTAATTTTTACTTATTCACATGGGAGTTATAAACACAAAAAGGCAGGATGTGGGGAAAGGGATGACACCAAAGCATAGGTGTTCAGGGGGAGTACAGATATCTTACAGAACAGAGTATTGGCTGGGTGAAGGTTCAGAGGACAGGTCACTATGAATCTGCCTATGATTCACTTGTTCTTATCTAAGTTAATACTATCTGCCAAGGCTACCTATTTACAAGGTCTATGACTACTCAGGCTGGTAAATTTCCACAACAGCTGCCTATATACAATAACTTAGAGGCATCTGTTTCAGTGTTTTTCCACAGAGACCTAAGACTTTGTGTTAGCATGCGTGTATGTCAGGGCTACTGCTGATTTTAGGCCTATGCATTATTTTGGGCCTTCATTGTATAAGCAGGGCTGCTCCTGACATCTCCCTTCTCTAAGTATAGATGGGCTGTGACGATTCTAATCTTACGAAGGTGGGGCTAGAGGCCTGACCTCCAGTAATTGAAGGGGACCTTGTAATGGCTCTGGTCCTCCTTTCATCCAGTGAGGCATGAGGGCCATACCCATCCCGATGTCTTTTTCTTGGAGAGGGGATACTTTTCACATCAACCTCTATGCAGTCAGGCTTGTCCCTGAGGGTACCCAGAGAGATATGTTTAACTTTTATTTATATTCCCTTGCAGTGCTTAGCCTCACAGCCTAAGCAAGAATTCAGATCGCCAGTCAGAGGGGTTTCTGGGTAGCCCCTCTCTGCTTGGTCTAGGGGCAGAAGTCCCCTCTCTTAGGTTGGATGGAGATGGGTTTTGGGAACTCAATGGATAGAGTAACAACCACATCTTGAGTCTTGTCCTTCACAGCTAGCTTATAATAATGTATCTGAATAGTTCTTACTACCAAATTATCTACCTGTTGTTTCACAAAGTTAATTAGCAAAAATAACAGGAAGCAACAGTCTCCTCTCCTTAATGTCTCTTAACATCAATGGACTCAATTCCCCAATAAAAAGACATGGGCTAACAGACTGGATATGCAAACAGGACCCAGCATTTTGCTGCATATAGGAAAACCACTTCAGCAACAAAGGCAGACACTACCTTAGAGTAAAAGGTTGGAAAACAATTTTTCAAGCAAATGATCCTAAGAAACGAGCTGGAGTAGCCATTCTAATATCTAGTAAATTCGACTTTCAACTTAAAGCTATCAGAAAGGATAAGGAAGGACATTTCATATTTGTCAAAGGAAAAGTCAACCAACATGAACTCTCAATTCTGAACATCTCTGCACCAAATCCAAGAGCATCCACTTTCATAAAAGAAACCTTACTAAAGCTCAAAACACATATTGCACCTCACACAATAATAGTGGGAGACTTCAACACCCCACTGTCAGCAATGGATAGATCATGGAAACAGAAACTAAACAGGTACAGTGAAACTAACAGAAGTTGTGAAACAAATGGACTTAAAGATATCTATAGATATCTATGTTTCACCCTAAAACAAAAGAAGATCTTTTCCCAATCAGTAGACTGCTGTTTTGTCTTATCAAGTGTACCCTTTGCCGTTCAGAAACTTTGTAGTCTCATGAAATCCCATTTATCAATTATTGATCTTAGAGCCTGAGCCATTGGTGTTCTGTTCAGGAAATTGTCTCCTGTACCAACACATTCAAAAGTTCACTTTTCTTCTATGAGATTTAGTGTTCCTGGTTTTATGTTTAGGTCCTTGATTCTTTTGGACTTGAATTTTCTACAGGGTAATAAATATTGATCTATATAAGTTCTTTTACAATTAGATATCCAGTGAGACCAAAACCATTCGTTGGAGATGCTGTTTTCCATATTATATAATTTTAGCTTCTTTATCAAATTCAATTGTTTTTAGGTGTGCAGTTTATTTTGGAATCATCAATTTATTTCATTGTTCAATGTGTCTGTTTCTGTACCAATACCACTCAGTTTTTTATTACTATTTCTCTATAGTACAGCTTGAGGTCAGGGATCAAAATTCCTCCCACAGTTCTTTCATTGTTCAGGACTGTTCTGTCTATCCTGACAGACCTGTAATAAACCAAAAGATAAGATCTACTTTTATATTTCACCAAACTTTCTCACTATCATTGATGAATAGTTGGTGCTTGGTAAGTATTTATCATTAATAACAATTTAATAGAACTTTCTCTTTCGTAAAATTGAAATGAAATAAAATTTCTCTCCTCAGAGAACTATGATCATTTCACCTGTCTTATAAAGAACAATGGCCTTCATAAATGCCACTCTTAAACCAATGTGTATCATTTCATTGGAATTTCTAAGCTCTATGTCTGAAACTGCAGAGGTTACTTCTGTAGGAAGAATTGAAGAATTGCCAGGGAACTCAGGAAGTAATTCAACAAGCAGTGAAGAAATTTCCCTTTCAAGATTTTAACAAAGAACATGCTGAGGTCACCGCACAGTGACAGATTTGTGGTATTGGCTGTTCAACAGTCATCCCAGGAAATAAATATTTTATCATACAAAGAGAGATATTCAAAAAATTTTTAAAATAAGCTTGATAACAAAAGTTGTAACTATGGGAACATTTCCCTTCCAGGGGTTTGAATTAAAATATGGAATCTCAGAGGAATTTGTTTTATTATCTATAACAAAAGGCGCTGCTTAGCAAAAGAGAAATGACAGCTTGTACTTTCAGAGATATATCTCTCATGTGGGCCTGTCAGTCACCCAGCCCCTACATTAGGAAGAAAGATGGGTGATAAAATTCTGAGATAGCATGCAGATTCAGGAAATGAGACTCAGCCATCTCTATGGCCCTATTATTTTTCAGTCGTCCCCAGAAAATCTACTTTTTCTCAACTATTAGAAAAATTGGCAAACAGTGAAACAGGTTCCTGTTCCGTATGGTTTTGCAGGTAGAAATGAAAGAGTTACAGTATCCTGCAAGACATAGCTCTGAACTAATTTGCATTTCAAATAAGCGCTGAATGTTATGGGGGGAAATTATATTCCCCTTGGCATGTTTTCAAGCTAAATTTGGGAGACGAAAAAAAAATCTGAATAAATTAAGCCTACACTAAATATCTTAGAAAGAGGTTTAAGCTGAGCTTCCCCAAGTTTTGATGTTTCAAAATGACTGTTTGACATCTTGACTTTCTTGGTGTAATGTTATTTTTATATTTTGAAGTTTCTACATTAAAATAACATCAGAAAATTTATTAAATAGAGGAATAAACACACTAAAGGATTGTGTGAAACTTCAACTCTTAGCAAAGATGGAGAAATAATAATCTTTGAGGTAGTTTGACTTCAGAACCCTCCCCTCCCCCCTTGATCTCACTCACTTTCAATCTTGGTCTCTCTCTGCTAATAAGAACTTGGATGAATGCTTGCACAGAGTGAACAATACTGATAAGCTCTGGGCTGCCAAGGCTCATGGCAATTATTCAAAAAGTGCAAGTGATGGAGAAAGATGAAACAGTCCTTAAGAGCATATACTGTTCTTTCAGAAGACTTGTCTTTTACTTCCTGTGACCCAAATCTGGTGGTTTACAACTGCCTGCCACTCTAACTTCAGAGTGATTAGACTCTCTGACCTCTGGGGACAACTGAATTCATGTGTACCCACCCACATCCACATACCTCGCTCCTTCTATCTCCACCCCTTCTCTGCACTTTCTCTCTCTTTCTCTCTGTCTTACACACACACTCAAATATAAAATAAATCTTAAAATAATTGCCAACATCCTTCCTTTTTTGTTTCATTTACTACTTCAGAATGGTTAATCTTGTTTATTCTGAAATTTTAAATGTTTATTTCTATCATTTGTTCTTTCTATGAATATCATCATGCAGTTTGAGAATCATTTCATACAGAAGACTTGAAACCTGGGCTATTGTTCCCTGCCACCTATTCTTCCAGTCTCCCTCTTTCCTTTGCTTTTCTATTGATGACTATTTTGCTCTCTTAATTTTAAAAGACAAGTCATGGGGATGAAATGTACACTGTTACAATGGTAAAAGGATTACCTTAATACCATACAAAGTCAAATCTTAGCTTTGGCCTGGCTTTGATGGACTTCTTTATACAACTGAAAGACGTCTCTGTGCAGAATACTTTTTAAGAAATTACAAAACTGAGAGACCCTAATATGTACTTTGATTAAGTAATAGTGACACATTGCACACATTTTCAACAGTTTTTCACGTCTTCTCTAAGTTTCCATTTCCTTAAAGGCATCTTTTATTTCTCCAGAGTCCTTCTGGCTAGTTGAAGAGTGTTCCTTCCTCCTTCCATCCTCTTATTTTTTTCTCTTTTCTTGTTTTCTAAAGGCTCCTTTGCATTTGCTTTGACTTGAGTTGGGTTTGGACTCTTGCTTTCTTGATGTGTCCCATCTGTATTCCAGGTGCAACAAATAGTGAGCATGCTTCTTCTTCCTTAACAGAAATCATGGTTGCTATGCAGGTCAAATCAGAACCTATTATTAGCTAACTCCACATCCAAAAAGAGCACAGCCAAAATAAATTGGGTTCATCTAGAAGACAGTTAAATACCTGCTGTCTGTTGCCACAGTGCATGCTGCCAACTCTTTTCAAATACTATATATATATATATATATATATATATATATATGATATACCTTTTAAATAAAATTCCCTTATTTTAAAATTATTAAAAGAACAGGCAAAATTCTTCATAGAAATAGTTAAGTAGTGGCTTGAATAGGAATGACCCACCCAGACTCCTAAGTTTTCATACTTGCCCCATATGGAGTGACACTAGTAGACAATGTGGCATTATTGGAGTAGGTCTGCCTCTATTGGAAGAAATATGTTACTCTGGGTGTAGGCTTTGAGGTCTCCTATGCCTAATGTATGCCCAGAGTGGCACACAGTCTTCTGCTGCCTGTGGATCAAGAAGTGGACCTCTTAGCTCCTTCTCCAGCACCATGTCTGCCTGCATGAAGCCATGCTGCCATGCTCCTTGCCATGATCATGATGGACTAAATCTCTGAAACTGTAAGCCAGGCCCAGTTAAATATTTCCTATTATAAGAGTTGCTGTGGTTGTGTCATAGCATTACAGTAATAAAACCATAACTAAGACAAGGTGCTTGGAGACAAGCCCAATGATTTGAGTTTTAATCCTGGACCCCTCATATAATGGACAGAACTGCTTTTACTAAGTTTTATTTGACCTCTATAGGATCAATGTTACACATGCATACACACATACACACATAATATATATATATATATATCTCATAATATATGATACACACACACACACACACACACCATGTATACACTAAAACACACAAATACATACTGGTATTTTCTTCACTCATTTTGAAAAGTTATGAATTACAATGTGGGTCTCTCTCTTTCTCTCTCCATGTGTGTGTGTGTGTGTGTGTGTTTGCGCGCACACACACATATTTATTTCAGTCATTCAGGATTATAAACAGAATGAGAAAAATGTTTTCTGTCACCTAATGTAAATTGTTCAGTTTATTGTTGCATACTCTGCTTGAGACAATATTATTTTCAGAATAACATATATAAGGTACCTGTTCGGTAAACTAATGGAGAATTCTATCTCTGGGGCTGTCAATTACTTTCAGTCTTGCTAAATTCATTTGAAAAGCAATCTGTTTTCTAGGCATGGGTTATTTGTCTGAGTAAACGGAAACATTTTGCTTAACAGACACTGTTCTGATTGTTGCTGTCATCTGAGCTACCTCATCAGTGGTATGCTATGTAGCCACATGCTTTCAGCTTTCATACATCTGATGAAAATTAGAATGCTCTATTTCTCTCATGCTAAATATTTTATCTACCTTTCATTTCCATAAAAGTGCAAACATCACAAATCCAGAGGCATCTTAAATCAGTAACCAATATGAAGTTGGCCTTGAATGTTTCTCTGTCTTCTATTGAGAATCATTTCTCATTTCCCATAGCTCATGTGACCAAAGAGTGTCCCATAATTGCTGTGATGGTCTGTTCAAATGTATTGCTTCATTCACACATAGACATGATCCAGTAGAATTTTAACCAGAAGATCAAACTCGCCCTCTTTCAGTTGTTAATACACAATAATTGGAACCAATGTTGAAAACCAAATCTGATTGCCTTCCCACTAAAAAATGCAGAGACCATTTCAAGGAAAAAAAGTTTACAATATTGATTATTATTTGTTCCCTTAGAGAAATGTGTCAACCCCTATGCTATGCTAATCAATGACATTTTGTTTTATGTTAATAACATATTCTTGAGAAATTGGTTAACTAGATTCCTCTTTATTATATAAACTTGAACACTAAGTATAACTGTTGATAGAGATTTTGTCTAGCACAAAGCCTTAAATTTAATTACAAGAACCTTAAAATAGGTAAACTTGAAAAAATATAAACCTATAGATGCTGCATTTGTATGTGCCAACATGCAGTTTTCGTTAGTTACAAATATGAGCACCATCTTTAAACATTTTGGAGTATTACATATCTGTATTGTTAAAGATTCCCGCAACAGCAAATGATGCTCTTATGATTTTATTGGCTTTGCCATTTTTTCTAACACTATTTTTAGAGATATTTTAAGGTAATTATCTATTTAAAAGCATACTACACTGAAATTACACAGGACTGGCAGTATGCTACTTTTGTAAGCTTTGAATAAGCGTGGTATCTGATCTACAAGCTTGATTAACTCTCATTATTCACCCACTATTAAAAATAAGAGTAGACTAAACCATGCTGCTAAGCATTAAAAAGAGCCATATATAAAAAAATTTTTCAAAAGTGGATGAGAAGAAAAAATTAGACTTCTCTATTTTATGTGTTATCTTTAGGACAACATAGATTCAATGTTATGAATTTCCCATCTGACTGATTGCAATCCAACTACATTATATTTAGCTAATTAAAATTAACTATGTAGTTGTGCTGTTACTGTGTTGATATGAGACCATTCAAACAATTGGTTAAGATAATTTAAGAAAGCAATTTTAGTTTAGGAATTAAACCCTGATATTGAAAGAAATAGGGGGAGAACTCACATTAGTTACCCACAATACTACAGGATTAGCTGCCATGATAGTTTTAGATCAATGCTGCTGCAGATGACAGAATTTAGGCAAGATGTTGCTGATACATTTTCCCATATTGTAGAAGATAAGGAGGTATAGGTTGATTGGAGATTTTCAACATGTTACTTTTCCCACTTAATTCTTTAAATTTTAAGTTTTGTTCGGTCATCATGAAAATGTACCTTAGATAAAATTTTAATTGATGTAGAATATATGTTTGTGATAAGCATATATATATATATATATATATATATATATATATATATAAAAATTGAAGTTTTAGTTTGAATATTTGGCTTAAAACATTCTGTATTAGTCTCCTCTGTGTTAGCTCATGCCAACTAAAATATCTTTTAAGATTTATGTATGACATTGCAAAAGTAGGGTTTCATTTTATGAGAGATATTACAATTTTCTTTGTCCATCCATCTATTGG